GCAAACGTGACGTAAAGCTGTGGACGGGCACTTACTGACGTGTTTTGTGTTGTTGTTGAACGTTGAATCACTTCAACGTATTGATCAGGCCATAAGTGCAGCGCCAGGTGGGTATTCCAGGCTCTCCTTGCGCTCCATTACCGTTTAAAGGCTCCACCAGCGTTCAAGGGACTCGGGGAGAAAATCTTAGTGGCACCGCGCAGGAGTCACCGGAATTCGCCATCGTCATCATATCCTCTAGGCTCTGAGGCGATACGATACTTAGAACTCACTCATCTTGAACTATAATCGAGGGGTCGACATCCAGAACTATCCGCTACATTCCAATTATCAGTGCCATGTCTATTACCCCACTCACACGCGCGACCTTCATCGCTGCCAACCATGTTCAAGTCGCACTCTCCCAGAAGACCATGTACGAACTAGTCGAGGGCGAAGAAGGAGTTAAAGAGGTGCCTATACCAGAGAGCTTCAAGAAGTCCGGTATCCCACAAGGATATACTGTTGGTGCGTTCCCATCATGCCTTTATCAGAACCAAGGTGGTAATTCCGACTATCTGATTGTATGTTGCGATAGACTTCGTTTTAGATCCAGCAACGGTGGTGGCCTCCCTTGCCAAGTCTGGCATTACCACAGAGGAGTATGTACTCCTGACACATTCTTTCGCATGATAATAACCGCTATGTCTAGGCAGTTACCTGATGGCTTGCTCGAGGGATTTAAAGATGTCATCAATGCATCTACCAATCTGAATATCATACCAACATCCGTACATGAACAGGCGGGTGGAATTTTACCCTGTCGCACTCAGACACTAATTTGTTTCTCCAGAAAAGAGCTATTGAGGATGCTTCACTCGCCAAAGACGATGCCGAAGAGAAATAGCTGGTACGAAGCGGGATGGAATTCTTTGAATAAGTACAGCGCACGGAGGATTTTTCTACGTGTATGAACATTTTCAATTCCTGCTAGCCAATGTAGAACTAAATCTCTTCGCCTTCGTGCAATTCATCCCCGGGCCAAATCTCGTTCCGAAGTCAAATCACATTCTCCGCACCAACAACCGACTTAGACGAACTATGAATCTTGAATTTTAAGGCCCTGAATGAAGCCGACTTCCGCGTCCGTCGCAACGTCATCAGCACAACCGCCTGCTCGTTTTCCGAGATCTCAGATGACGGTAGCCCCTCTGGTAAATTCTATCGTCGGCCTGCAATAAGGCCGCTCAAGAAACTCGCGGCGAAAAACTCCACAACCTATGTATCTACATAGATATCGATGCCTTCACTCAACACTCGTCCCAAATTTTCAAAATTCAGCTGCCTCTAACATGGACTCCAAACATTTGTAGCCAATTTCCAAGGCAGCCATGTTGGCAACGGATCGGAAACATGGTGGTCGCCTTCCCTCTTTTCAAATTGGGCACCTTTACAAAGCTTGGCAATGGTGATCAGCCTTGTAGGCTTCCGCCAAAATTTGAAATTCCCCCGGTTTCAGCTTTTGGTAAAGATCTGCCCAACGTGGTCTTTCATGCGAGGTATAAAAGCAGCCATGGGTCCATCACCGATTTCTTTGGCTGGCCCCATACTCACATTGCGTTCACATACCCTTCCTTTACCTATTCACATCCACCATGCGCTGGTCGCTCTTGTCCCTCGTTGCTCTACTCGCCCTGCTCATTGCGGACGTCACCGCACTCCCAATGCCTCAAGATGGCTCTTCGGATCTGGTTCTGGAACGCCGGGCTGCCACTAAACCAAAGAAGGCGACGAAAGCCAAGCTGAGCGCGTTGAAGCTGTTGAGGGCGTCTACCTTCAAGAAGTCTAGCTCAACGTATCGGAATGCTGCGCTGAAGAGCAAGAATCACATGTTTTCAGTGGGTCGGAAGTCTGGGAGGATTACTAAAACCAAGCCACCCAAGAAGATGCCCAAGGGCTGGGATGCTGGTGCGTGTTTGTGTATTGGTATTAACGGATTGGTTTTCAAACTGGTTTTCAAATTTTTGCAGACCATATTTTTGAGGCGCAAACTATGAAGCATGCCGCTCAGAAGGCCGGGCACTCCAGAATGTTGGTTCTGCTTCAGCTCTACTCGATTATGCTTTACAGCGTTCATCACCTTCTAGCTCTCTCGCACCAGCATTAAAGGCCATTAAAGATCGCATCAACCATCCAGATAACATGGCGTTCCTTGATCCTGCGACTAACAAGGCTGTGAGTAGTTTGATCGGCTCCCTCTTTGCGACCATTCCTAATCATTTTTTTTGGGCGTTGATAGAAGGGGAAGGCGCACACCGCGGTGCAGTCAGGCAAAACGCCAGCAAACGACCGTAATGTTGCGGACTATCTTAAGCACACGTCGGATGCAGGGAAAGCTACTGCAGCTGATGTGGACCAGATCTTGAAGACGCATGGGATTACGGGCATTAATGTTTCAAAGGAGCACAAGAAGGTGTTAAAGGCGCATGGGGTGAAGAGACGCGAGTACAGTGATGTGGATCTGGATTGAGGATAGGGTACTGAGCCCAAATAAGATGTTGACGTCTTGAATAACGAACGGCCACGATTGGCGGGAGCACGTACCAGCGGAGGGAAACAGCTGCAAGAACATTTGAGTTTCGTCATGGCTAAACAGAAGCGGTTCGATGCTGACAGGCTGTAGACGCGTTGTTGAACCTAGTATAAACCTGAAGTCGGACCTTACATACATACACAACTCGGCGTCTGGGCATGGCCAACATTGCGCTAACTGCGGTCAAGGACACTCCAGCCACAATTCGAGGTTGATTCGAGGCAGCAGTTGCGCACCAGCGGAAGATGACTTCGGATGACAGGGACAGTGTGTCAAGAGCATAC